AGAGCCTTATTGGGGTTTTCACACTTGAATTTGTCAACTCAGAGTAATTTTTAATCCTGGGTAGTTAGGGTTCGACATTTCACACTTTAGATTTATAAACCCTGGGTTATTACTCTTATTTGCAAATTCATGGGGTCAATAACATTGCAGCTAGCTTTAATAAACGCAAGTTCTAAATTGTACAAACATATAACTTCTTTACAACAGTCAACAGTTAACATTTTTTAAAACGTGACATTTAAATTTAGTTAACCCAGAGATACAGTAAGCGTACAAACTGTCAGTACCAATGTAAAATATTTGTAAAAATCTTTTTTTTAATATATATATATATATATATATATACAAACAGGTAGACAAAGACAGTGCAAATGAACTTTCACACATTCCTTAGCTATTTCTCCCTGTGAAGTGTCAGCACCTTAGTATAGCCTTACCTAGACCAAGAGCAAAAAAATACATTATACCGTTTTCGCTGCAGACACTACAGATAAGGAATTGATTCAAAGTTTCATAAATGGCAATGGGCTTGGAAAACTGTATGCTACTGAAGACAATTCAACTTTGTGTCCTCAGAATGAGATTTGCCTTATTGCTTTTGCAAAACTTTACTGTAGATTTGCAATTGAACTGTTTTCCATTTTAAGAATTCGTGGCCATATAGCCATTATCATTGCTTATTCATTATTTTTTTACTATATATATAACATTCTCCTAGCTTCCGCCCAAACCCAGACTCGCCCGCCAGACTGTCAAACAAAGAAGCGTGGTTCGTCACTCCACAGAACGTGTTTCCACTGCTCCAGAGTCCAGTAGTGGCGTGCTTTACATCACTCCATCTGACACTTGGCATTGCACTTGGTGATGTGAGGCTTACATGCAGCTGCTTCCATAAAGCTCCAGCCACACAGTTTGTGCTGATTTTAATGGCAGTGGAAGTTTGGAGCTATGGAATCAGCAGAGTGTAGTGACTTTTATGCACCATGCGCCTCAGCACTCAGTGACGGTGTGTTGCTGCTGTTCCTAAACGCGTCCACTTTTCACCTGTGGTAATAGCCTGACTGAAACAACTAAATTCAATAATTGAGAGGTGTGTCCCAATACCTTTGTAAGATTTTTTTTAAAGTAATTAAAACTTACTCAACAAGGATTGACAAAAACATTATCAAAGGTGAGAGTAAGACTTTTATTTTGTTACAATATATATATATATATACACAGGTGCATCTCAATAAATTAGAATGTCGTGGAAAAGTTCATTTCAGTAAGTAATTCAACTCAAATTGTGAAACTCGTGTATTAAATAAATTCAATGCAATCACATTGTTATTCACAACATTCAATAATGCATTCAAAAGTAGTGTATTTTGCACTTTTTTCATTTAAAAGTACTGCTATATGAACAAATGTGCTATAACATTTGGTTTGCAAACACTTTAAAGAAATAAGGTGCTTTTTTACAGCAGTATTCCTTTTTCATAGTAGCAGTTAAAATATTTCTTGTAAATCTCAACTTATAACATTAATGGAATCAAATTAATGCGGGTGCGGGCGGGTAGAGACTCGTGTGTGCGGGATGCGGGAGAATAATTACACACACACACCTGTTGTCTATCTGGAGCACTATAAAGGTTGCTCTCACACACACACTCACTGCGAAGTATTGTGTATGTTGATGATTGTCTGTCTGTTCGCTACGGCGCCGTGCCTAGCGATTCCTGAGCCTGAGTCTAGTCTGTCTGTTCCTGTGTTTTGACCTACTGCCTTTGTCATTAAAGCTGCACTTGGATCCGACCCTACCTTCTCGTATCCTTCCATCCGTAACTCTTTCTTTCTTTCTTTCTTTCTTTAGGCAATGTAGGTGTTCAGGCAGGTAGAGAGGGGGAAAAAATCATATGAAATCTGCTTTTCAGAAGCCTGATCTAAATACATCAAATTGTTCTTACTGCCATCATGAAAACAATCAATAGTGAAATATTTGCTTTGATTTTGCATCAACAATTTTTGTTTTTGTCTACTAAAAACAGATGACAATTTAAGTTAAACAATAGTAATTTATCTGTCCTGTCACGGCTATGGAGGCCGTCTGTGAACTCACTTCCTGTCCTGTCACGGCTATAGAGGCCGTTTTCGAACTCTCTGACCGTCCTGTCACGGCTATGGAGGCCGTTTGTGAACTCACTTCCTGTCCTGTCACGGCTACAGAGGCCGTTTGTGAGCTCTCTTCCTGTCCTGTCACGGCTATGGAGGCCGTCTGTGAACTCACTTCCTGTCCTGTCACGGCTACGGAGGCCGTTTGTGAGCTCTTTACCTGTCCTGTCACTGCTATGGAGGCCGTCTGTGAATTCACTTCCCGTCCTGTCACGGCTATGGAGGCCGTTTATGAGCTCTTTGCCAGTCCTGTCATGGCTAAGGAGGCCGAGTATGAACTTTTCGCCTGTTCATTTGTGGATAAAAAGACTAATTATGACGCTGTGTTCCCTTTTGTCCCACCCAACCTCCCTCTCCCTCCTCCTCTGCCTGTCATGCTCTTTGTCCTGTCTCCGCTGTTCTCTGTCTGTCCCTTAGGTCATCCGTCAGGGGTGGTTAGCGGTCAGGATTTGCCTCGGGACATTCAGCCTCCAGCTGCACCAGGGTTGGAGGATCCCAGATCTCTGGTTTCGGCCTTCGAGGCCTGGACTCCACTTCGGTCCTTCGATCCGTTGATGTCGCCTTGGCTCAAAGCTCCCTTGTCTCCACCGTGGTCCGTCAGTCCACCAGCTCCGCCGGGCTTCCTCGTCCCGTCAGCTCCGCCTTGGTCATTCGTCGACCCGCCCTCGCCTCAGGACTACGCTCCTCCGGCTTTGCCTCGTCCCTCCGTCTCTCCGGCTCCGTTGGGCTCTGGGAAGTATTGATTATGTTGATGATTGTCTGTCTGTTCGCTACTGCTCCATGCCTAGCG